CCAGATCTGGGAAAGCGCGGAAGTTCCGTTTAAGAGTTTTCTCGTGTCGCGTGTTTTTCGTCGCATAATTAAAAAAAAAGAGAGGGAGAAAGAAAGAAAAAGCCAACCGCCCCTACAACCGCACATAATGTTACCCACCCCCCAATTTCCCCACATCGATTTTTAGTATACAGGAAACTGTGAATTGGGACGATCATCGAACGAGGATAAGTCGACGGTGTTTGTAGAAATTCTGTTTTGTTTTGTGTCGTCCTTGCGTGGTGCATACAGCACATACCAATGGGAGGAGGACATACACACATTTATGAAATGCTGAATCGATTTTATGGCGTGTTGCTGGGAACAGAACAATCCAAAGTCCCCTCGATCGTTAGGCCCGTGGATCGTGTGGCGCCACGGGAACACCACCGTGCTCCAATGATGTCTCGAAACTGGAGTATACCTAGGATTTATGTGTGTCAAATAGCTGATGCTAATGCACGAAAACTTTGAAACGTCGATAATAAAAGGAGTGACACAGATCTCATACTACAATAACAAGTAATATTGTTACAAATTACAATCAAATTTATTACATTGTATATTATAATACTAATCTCTACCAATTAATAACTATCATCAATAACGTATTGGCGCATTCAATATTATATTACACTTCAATTAACAAAATTTAACCCAAAACTTTCAAAATACACAAAAAAATACTATTTACTAACAATTTTTATATGGAAGCATAAAATTGATGATAACCAATAAACATTGAGAATTGACATAAATCCGCACGAACATAAAAATATGAATATGAAGAAAATATCTATCAAAAATATAAAGCAGTAAAAAAATTATTATATGTATTATTAAGATTAATAACTGTACAGTTTCCAAACTTAAGTCATCATATAATTTCAATGTGTGTCAAATAGATTTCTCTAAAAACAATAGCCACGGCCATCAAAATAATAAAAAAAAATCTATTTTTAAATATCAATAAATTACATTAACTAGTACTGTATTCATGGAGTAATAAAAATAAGTAAAAAAAAAACCTTGAAACCCTTTCACAATACGAACAAACACTATTGATTAATTAGAAACGATTTATATGTGTCAAATACCAATAAGATGAATGCATCAAAATGTGTGCACTATTTGGATTAACAAAAATTGTTATAAATAAAGCTATATTTTCGTACATCTTATTTATAGAACAAATCAAATTTATAATAAGATAAATTGAAATATGAATAATCTTTACTTATTTTGTTTTAATATGGAATTTCTCTATTCATTTTTTTTTCTATATATCAAATTTCTATTATGTTTTAATAATTTCTATATATAAAAATTGTAAAAATCTGTGGAGAGGTGACACAAAAGGAAAGGCAAATTCGACCAACAACAACGAACAAAGTAGCACTATTATTACGTGTGAGGCAACGTTATACACGCGATTTGTTCCTTCACTATCTTATCAGCCAACTGTTAGATATTTTAAATGAAAAAAAAAGATATACTATTTGAATAGCTTGTATTCTTATCCATGGCAGCGCTATCTGTCATGGAAAACTACAAGTGGGTAGAAAATTTCAAACATTAAGGAAACGAATCAAATCCGGAACCGTTCGATTAATCAAAATCAAAGTTTTACGGCGGAAAAACGAATTTTGTTACAACTGTAATTGACAATTTCATTTCATGCTGCTTCGACTTTTATCGCGGATAATGCGAAGCGTTCCCAATCAAATGCAATTACAGCAAATCAGGTCGGAGCGATGAAGGAGGAAGGGAAAACTGGTGCCTGCGAAGAGCATCAAATTGCTCACACGAATTATGTTTAATTGCGAGAGAGTCGCATATGTGTGACACAACCATCTCGAATTGCTTTCCCAGAGATCAGTATGAGATTAATAGAGTAATTACAAAAAAACACAAGTGAATTAAGAGGAAGTGATCTTGAATAAGCGCAAATTCCTAATTTTGGATCAATTTTATGTAACAGTTTACGCGCAAGTCACGACAAAAATAAATCTGCAACGGGATGAAAATATGTTTTTTTTTTCACGTTGCACTTGCTTTCATCTGAGGACAAGTGCCCTACACTGTGGAAAACCTCCACAGTCCTCATCGATTCGAGGAAACGCTCGGTTCTTGTCACTTTTCAAAATCGATACACGTACGAAGCCAGCTGATCCAGTTGGCCGCCATTTCTTTCTGTTTATTTTTTTTTTTAGTACTTTTCCAATCGATACACCCGGCATATCTAAACACGGAATCGATACCAAAATTCATTTTCATCCGTAAACATTTCTATAGAAAAATATTATTTACATAACCCTAGTATCATTGAAATCTAAACGACCTCATAACCTGGAACAGTAATAACTCCGAAACATATATATACTCGCTCAATGGCATAAAATTTTATGAGCAACATTTTGACTACACGTAATTGATTTCGTATTTTATCTGTTACGACCCTTACGTTTTATCACCTACTAATTAATTACTAATCTTTACAAACAATAATCGCGGAAATAATTTTTAAGTGCTTCTTTTTAAATGAACAAAAATAACTTTCTTCTTCGAACTGCTCTCACAGAAACGCTCTTTTTCCAGTAACGATTTAATCAAATATGCACGAAGCGAATTGGGTCAACCGTACTTATTTATTCAATAAATAAAAAACCCCAAAGGATAATTAAGCCAAGATCTTTTAGCTCCTTTTCATTATAATTTACTATAACAACAATCCAATTATTTCCAACAACTGAAATGTTAACAAATATCAAGTCACATTTTCAAATAAAATACTCAAAAATATAGAAAAAAAATAATTGTAATATAGAAACAAAACAAAAACGAACTGGAAATGAAAATGTAGTAATCCGTGAAAGTGTCCATACAAACATGCATACACTCACGGATCTGTGCGCACGTAATGAATGGAATCCACAGCCGAATAAAATATATTAAAAGCATAAAATAATGAACGAATGGAAAGAGGCAACAAAAAAAACCGAAGAAGAGAAGAAAAACGCGAATTGTACGAGCAACATAGATGAGTGCGCAAATTGCGATTACGTAATTCTACTTATAAATAAATAAACGTGAATTATAATGTTTGTTGTTGCAAGTATTCACGTATGCGCGCGTTACTTTTCATTACAGTAATCATACTATTATTCGGCTCAGATATCGTTTTCTATTCTATACCAGTGTCTATTATTACGCAACTATATTATCCTTTATTTCAATTTGCTATACTTTACAGACTGACGATTCGAAACTTTTCGGAGAAGCCCTTTTGCACCGCTTATTAAAACTTCTTGCAAGTTATTTCATGGAAGCTTATAGGCTCATAATTTAAAACAAAACTGATTTTAGTCGGAAAGTATGCAGTTGTATACCCACTGATTGGAAAGGATAATGAGAATTAATTAAACTGGAACGTCGATCTAAAAGGAAAATGGTAAACAACGTCAAACGTCAGCGGATTGTTTAATTGTTGTCGACGTTTTAATTAACAGAACTGGTGAAATCAATTTAACGTTATTTTAGTGTAACGATTCATTCAATTATAAAAGCATCCCTCGCTATTTTTTTTGCATATATGTATTCGTATCGTCGTTAAGCAAATAATAAATATTTTCTAAATGCAAGAAAAAATGAATAGATTTATTGTACAATGGAAACGCGCGCAGCCGGAAACTACTGATATACAAAAGTAAGATACATCAAAAGACTTCGACGGTAAATACAAATATGTAAACGTGAAACCATTTATTGACTCAAATATAATTGACTACCTACTAAACGCACAATGGAATTCATATATACAAAAAGGTGGAGTCGCGTCAAAGTCATTTAATTTCGCCTATTTGTGTTTATTCTCAGTTTCAAGAATTGCCAGCAGTAGTTATTTGTTCATTTATAAACAAATGTTTGTTTCAGTAAATAAAATTATAAAATATTTGGTTCATTATAAAGTTATTAAAAGCATATCGTATTAAAAAAAAGGTTACTTTATGTAACAAGTAAAAGCAGTCAACTCACTTTTATAATGATGTTGAATTTATATATTTTTTTTAAATTATCAAAACTCTTTCAGGAAAATATTTCTTTTAATGTAATTGAAACTATTAGTACATTAACTTTGGTCCTGAATAATCCAATAAATAATATTAAATTTACGTAACTTTACGAAGTTATATAAATATGTTTAAAAGTTAATGAAAATAGCAATAAAAATGTAAGTATTTGAGCACAAAAAGTTAGTTTTAAATAAATATTGAAAAGTAATAAATTATTAATGTTTAAGTTTAAGAAATAAAATATTATAAATATAGTCAAAAGAAAGTCGAAATTGTCAATTTTTTTTGAATTATTTAAATGACATTTATAGAAATTATATAAATATCAAGCACCAAAAAAAAAATCGTATATCTAAAGTGGTCCGTGAAAGCGTTTACGTAACATGAAAAATCAATGTTTTCGTGAAAAATGTTCGGTAAAACCTAAAGGAGGAAAACGAAGGATTATCTATCATTGCATAACATTGTAAAGTAAAGACCTGCAAGAGAACGATGCATAATAGAAACAAAACAAAACAAAAATGCACCAAAAACTTTCCGATGGAAGCAATCTCCTTAATTGTTCAATACTTAACAATAAGCAATTCCGCATGAGGCCACACAGCAAGTGTACGTTATGTGTGTGTGTGTGCGTGTGTATGTATGAGTGTAGTTCGGTCGTGATGTGGCAAAGCAGTCTAACATTGCGTAGCACGACGCAACATATTGACGATTGATACGCGTCTTCGACCATGGTGAAACGAAGTAGAAAAAGAACTAAATGAAAAGTGAAATTAGCGAATTTAATGAAATTAAATAATAAATAAAATTAGTATAGAATAATTGGTGGTGAAGGATAGAGTTGCAAGCGAAATAAGTTTAAAAAAAAAATATATAGTAATTAAAAAATAATAAGAAGAAGACACTCACCAATCGGCAACGAATAAAACAGACTGTCAAAGACGAAGCTTTCTGCCGGGTTGCTTATCATTAGGGAATGTGTGTGTGGGTGTGTTTTGTGTGATGATGTTGTAAGGTCGAATGGGTTTTCAGGAATGAAGAGAGGGTTACGCGCACAACAACGGAACCGCACTGAACATATGTTTCGGGTGTTTTGCGATCAATTATTGTTGTTGCTCAATTATAATTTGCTAATTTTATAAAATAATTAATTAAATTAATAATTATTGTTGCCTTATACTTGTGTTATATGTAATGTGTATTATTATTATGTTTTTTTTGTTGTTGTTGTTGAGCTGCGCGACGACTTCGACGAGGCCGAACGGAGTTTCCTATTGGCGAGGGCTCGACGATAAGTCAGAAACTGGTGGTGTTCTGGATCGTTCCGACTGCTGCTGCTGCTGCATTGCTGCCGACGACGGCGGATTCTCGGCTTCGACTAACAGCCAGCACACACACAGCTGATCGGCAGTCGCCGAAGCAACACCCACCATACGTGCAAATCACAATAGAGCCGAACGTTACGAAGGCAACACATACACACACACAAAGAGAAGAACAATAAGGATATAGCAACAATAATAAGAAATTTAAGTAAAAAAAAATGAGACTTCGATTTTTGAAATTTTAAAAAAATAGTCCAAAACTACCCTTATTTTATATATTTGCTTTTGAAGTGATTACGCAAAAGAAGGATAACCGGTTGTGATAACGACAACCGCAGCGGCGCGCGAGCGTCATCGGTTGTATAATGCGTCCGGTGATAAGGGATGGTGCGAAGTTCCAATTGGATAGCGCGCTCGAATTTTTGACTTTGTTTATGTTCTTCGACTGTTTTCGGCGGGCGAAACTTTGAATTTCGCTCGTTCATATTGTAGGTTAAGTTTAGGTTTACCTGTGCTGAAGTGCGAGCGCTTCGTGTCTCCGTTCTCGGTGTCCCCGTCGAGCGGCCTCTTCCTGGAGTCCGCGATCTCTGGTGATGGGCACGTATCCATACCCGAATCGGCAGCCATTTTGAAAATTTAGACGTCCATTAGCATAGAGCGTGCGATTCGTATATGGAACACTATGCGCGCGCTGTACACACAACTTCCTCTCCGCGCTATTGCAATATATATATATATGTAAGTGTTTGGATATATATATATATATATACACTATTTACACACACGTGTGAGATAGAGCGCAACGACCACACTCCGACTCGTTCCGGATCAAACTGAGGTAGAAACACGCACACGAACGATTCGGAGACGTCCCCACTGCACTGCGAAGCGGTACGAGGATGGACGAAACGGCGCGAAGCTGCTGTTCGAAAATTTCGCAGTCGAAAAAAACTACGGGGAGCGCGCTGTGCTCGTTACGTAAGCGGCGCGACGCAGTCGAAAATTGCTTCTTCCTTCTGGAAAACCTGGAAACACACAGAGTAACAGAAACACAATCAGTGGCAGGAATGCATTCGAGTTTTATCCTCCCTAAACCGAACCCCTTTTTCCTTCTTTTCGCCCCACCCACCCAAAGATACAACGAGAGGCCACGCCCCTATCTTGTTTTTGTCAACATTTCAAATTTGGTGCTATTCTTCAACAACAGCAATTATCGAATTTAATTTTTTCTACTTATTCTTCGATTTACAATCTAATCTTCTTTAAATATTTATTTACTTGATAAAGTTTTGCTGCTTATAATCACCAACCCTTAGTAATAAGTATGATTTAAATACAAACAGCTCAATTTCTACTTAGTTTCCTAGATAATAGCCACAACATTAATAAGTAATTCCGTTAATCCTTAAAGTTCTTCAGGCGGAATTGGAATTAAATGTTTATTAGTCCCCTTTTGTTGTCATTGAATATAAATAATCAAAAATTATAATTAGAAATTTGTCCTATTAACGAAAAAATACAATAGTGACAAGTAAAACAGAAAAGAACACTTACATGAAATTTAACAGTTGGAAAACGGTACCAATTTAATGAAATTCATACAAATTTTGACTTCAGATATATTTCCAAATAATTGTTCATTTTTGTGCATTTAATTAAATTATTTAAAAAAGCGAAAAAAAAAATCGCATTGTTTTTTTTTCAATTAAATTAATAAAAGTAACATTTTTATTAATTTAATTGAATTTGATTTTTCAATTGACTTTATGTATTGAAAACTGTACTTTTATCTCGTTTTCAATTAAATATTATATGTGATCATTTCATTTTAATTATTTAGTAAAAGGCGGAAGAAATATCAATAAATTAAAATTAAAAATTTGTCCTATTAACGAAAAAATACAATAGTGACAAGTAAAACAGAAAATAACACTTACAAGAAAGTTAACAGTTGTAAAATGGTACCAATTTAATGAAATTCATACAAATTTTGACTTCAGATATAAAAAAAACTATATTTCCAAATAATTGTTCTTTTTTGTGCATTTAATTAAATTATTTAAAAAATCGAAAAAAAATCGCATTGTTTTTTTCAATTAAATTAATAAAAGTAACATTAATTAATTAATTAAATTGAATTTGATTTTTCAATTGACTTTATGTATTGAAAACTGTACTTTTATCTCGTTTTCAATTAAATATTATATGTGAATATTTCATTTTAATTATTTAGTAAAAAGCGGAAAAAATATGAATTTTGTTAATTCAATTATTTCAATAATTAAATTTTTACTTTCATTAATTTTAAATATAAAAAACATATAAATTTATAATTTTTTTAACTAAAAAAAATGTAAAATTTTTTCATTAGTTTCATTTAATTATTTTTTTACAAAAGAGGAAAAAAAAATATCGACAAACAATGCTTTAGTTGAGTAAAGATCAATAATTTTCATTCGCTCACAACAATTCCATATATGATAGATATTTCCGGTAGCATTTACAAAACAAGTAAATCAAGTTTATAAAAATTTAGTTTACATAATATCAATAAATGAATGCCTGTTTAAAGCGTCCTTCATTGTTTGCCAACAGAACGCTTCGAAGTATTTTTTTTTTTTGCAAATCATCGCAATGACTGCTAATATATATTTTTTTTTAAATATAAGAAAAAGCGGAAAACATCGTCAATTCTACATACATAAATTGTATCGAAAACACAAAAGTTGAACTTATGCGGTTTTTTGTTTGTTTGTTTGTTTCGACATAAATATTGAATCAAATTTGTAAAGTTCCAATGTAAGGAAAATGTAATGGTATTAGTTTCTACACGAAAAACAGCGAAGCAATTTTTGAAACTCAATATGCAAACGAAACATAAATTATAGCGTAGGTGAAAATAAATATAAATGGTATTTAGTTATTTGCAGAATTGTTAAGATTTTTTATATTATAACATGAAATTTGTGAGTATTTAATTATTATACTTTACAAGTTTTTTTTGGTAGAAAAGTTTTGGTTTTCTGTTCTGAGATTTTAGTAATTTACATAAAAAAAAGTCATAAAACTAATATTAATTACAATTGTTTAAATTAACAATCAATATTGTTTATTTATTTAATGTTTCTATGGTCTTAGTGGTGGCGCAATGAATAGCAAGAAACACGATCGCTGTTGTTAATTAATACGTAAGGACACCCATAGAAAATATACATACATTACATATTTACATAACTAACGTACTAGTACGTATACACTTGCACGGATGCACGCATGGAGAAGGCTATAATATAGAAAATAGAATATTCAAATTGTTGAGCATCAAAATTGCCGCATTTCATTAAGCAAACGCTGACCAATCGAAAATGGTAATTGTAACCGAAAAGATGACTTGGGGAAAATTTTTCGTTTCGTGCAGATCGATGAACCAGGGCACGCATATTTTTCATGATTCCACAGACTGCGCTGTATTCATGATACACAACTTACAAAAAAAAATCAGCTACAAGTAATATTATTGATTTTGGTTTATATTTCTACGAAACACATTAAATTAATTTAAATTAAAAGATTTTACTAATTTGATTATATACAGTGAAACCTCGCTTAACGAGTTTAATCCGTTCCAGAATGTTTACTCGTATAGTGAAACATATTGAAATATACACTAATATGTGTACACAAGTATTAAAAATGATGTAGCAGGTGCGCAATCCGGGACTTCTCTTCTCATCGTCACTCGTTATGAGAAACGTTGCGAGAATCATTTTTCTTACAATTAATTTTGCTTGCTAAACGAAATGGTCGTTAAGCGAGGTTCCACTGTATATTTAGTTAGCAATTTAGCTCATAATCAATACGCGTTAATAGTTTGTGTATTTTGTTCCCTTCCGCTACGTTCATCGTAAAAATAGACGTAAAAAAAACTACGATTTCCAAACGCTTTTTGGCTCTTGCAAAGCCTACTTTTGGCCATTCTATATTTGAATCGCTCGAATCTTCCTTTCTCCGCCGTTCGCCAATGCATCGCACAAAAAAGGGCAACAGTTTTTTGTGTGTGTTAGGAATAATAGCGTTGCTATTGGAAGTCTTTTGAGCCACTCCTAGCGACGATTGTTTAATGGCAGAAATAAGTAACGTCGGTTTAATAGCGAAATAATACTTTTGAGGACAGGGATTACGGCGAAATGCAAATACGGGCACTAATAGCATCCTAATGATTACCACCTCTAAGTATTCGTCTCGCGACGCTAAAGAATAACATGATCTCATTATCGTTACAAATGCAGCAGATGATAAAGAAATTCCATACTTGATGACCTACAATGCAATTAGCAAAAGGATAACGCGTTAATTGTGTTTGATATTTGCTCATACAAAGAACTCAGCGAATCATCAGCAACAATAACAAATGACTCTTAGTCATGAAATGCTTGTAAACGCATCAACTATTATTAATCTATACAATTTACAAATGATGCAAGAAAAAATCACAAAACGCATAATTATATTTATTAAACGGAAAAATCGAGAATGTGGAAATTTTAACCGTTTAACGAAAAAAAAAAGAGGGGTCACCAATTACGTAATTGACGTTAGGAAGAGCGCGCTTCGGCAATTACGCAATTAAAATACAATTTTTTTGTTTGCATAACGAAATGTACAAAATAGGAACAGAAATAATAGTAAAGGAAACATGAGAAATTCGCTGTCTGGTGTTTATCAATATGTTATTTTGTACACTCATCTTGATATAGACCAGATTTCGCACAAATAAAATGAAAAGAAAAACAGAAATAAAGAGATGCAAACAAGCGCAATTATCAAGTAAAATATGTGGGAGACAGTAAAATTAACGTTCAACGTTGGATGACATTTTACGATAAACATTGATTCCCCTGTTGCCACCTGAATACAATCAACGAACTAGCGTTTAATTCGTAACGCAACGCAAACAACACAGGTTTCTCTATTAGTTGAATTGCATTTTCGAAAACTCAATCCAAGTAAATTGTATTTGCGAGGAAAAGCATGCGCAAAAACTATTCGTTATCAGCGACGAAAGGTCAAGACCTTAAGTGTACGAAAA